GGGGAAGAGAGGGAGAGGGAGCTCAGTCCTCCCACCCTCCATGCAGCGGGGATCCCAGCACAGCTGTAGCACCAGGTCAGGCTTCCCGCTGGCAGGGTACGGGCGGGTGGGGGTGTACAAACCCCGACCTTCCCCGCAAGACCAAACTCTGCCTCTTCCCCAGCAGGCTGGGGAGAGGTGTGGGAGAGAGAGAGTGGCAGCACATGGGGGGGGAGATAAGAAATGGGAGTGCTAACAATGGTGATAATTCAGTTATCATTGGGCATTTGAGTTGTGGCTTCTGGACTAAGGATGTTAAGGACTAGTCAACTATCCAATAAGCAAATACCTCAGAAAAAGGCAGCAAAGGGCTTGGAAAGAAGGAGTACTGCAAAGTGGCAGCACCACACAGAGCCTGGGGTCAGCTGGGGATTCCCTAGCTGATCCCAGGCTCCATGCAGCATTTCCACAGAACCCAGAGTCAGCTGGGGAGTCCAAGACTCCAGATGGCGCTGCTGCTTTGAAACACTGCAGTGGCGTTTCAAAGGGGCAGTGTCACACGGTGCCCGGGGTCAGCTCTATGTGGCGATGCCATTTTGAAACGGCATCCAAAGGAGGAGTGCTGAAATGCCTATCGACTAGTTGATGGAAATTCCATCGACTACTCAACTAGTAAATTAACCGATATTTAACATCCTTATTCTGGACATGAGGACACAGAATGGAATGGTTTTTACTTTGGAAGTGGATTAAGCTAAATCACAAAATAGCACACTTAGTGCAGAGTAACTCCCAAAGGAGAGTTAGCAAGCTTTAGAATTCATACACCAGCTGATTCTTCAACAGCTCCTCCATAGACCAACCCATAGCCCGCACTGAGATGAAAGGGACAGTTCACCCTCAGAGCCAGTGGTGGGCAACCAGCACCCTACTGGGAGGTTGGGAGTATGATGGGCTCAGGACACAGATTTGTATGTGTGGATGGTGTAGGAGTGTTGTGGCAGAAGACTGGGGACGTGAGGGTGCAGGAGTTTGATGCTGTGTGGGGCTCAGGGCAGGGGATTTAGATGTATGATAGGCTGAGGGTTGAGCTGTGGGGGGTGCAGGAATGTTGTGGTGCTGCAGCTAGATGGGGGCTTGTTGGGCAGGCTTCATTTTTAAATAAAATATTATTTCCAACACAAAACGTTTCAGCATTGTCTTTATTTATGGGAGGAGCAGGGAACCTGTTTTAGGGCAGGAGCCACTGACCCACAGAAAAATCAGTCGAGGACCACACAAGTGAGATGCAAAAAAACAACCTCTCCAAAACCCCCCAAGCCTCACTGATGTGGCCCCAAATGAGACATGTCACTCCCCTGGCACTCCAGCTCCAGGACTAAGGTTCAAGGTTCCAAAGTTAGTGGAATTTGTGGGCCCCTCTACACTCTGAGATGGAACCAAAAATGAGGGATCCAGTGCGCAGGACAGGGCTGGCAGTGAGTGGGATAGGGATGGGGGTGCAGAATCTGGGTGGAAAATAGAGTATAGAAGCAAGCTGGGGGTAGATGTCTGGCCAGGAAGGAGAGGAAAGGACCAGGGTGCTGGATGGTGTCTGGCTGGGGGTAGAGACAGGGTGATGGGGCAGGGTGCAGATGGGGGTCTGGCCAGGCACCAAGGTGCTGGTGGAAGTTTCGGCATGGTGCTAGTGGGGGCCAGACCAGAAGCAGGGTGCTGGTAAGGATCTGGCCAGGGAGCAGGGTGCTGGTGGAGGCCTGAGCATGAGGCAGGTTGCTGGTGGGGCTCTGGGCAGGGTACTCATGGAGGTCTGGGCAGGGAGAGAGGGCCAGGGTGCTGGTGAAGGTCTGGCCAGGGGGAAGGGACAGCAACAGCTCAGCTGGTACTTGGGGTCCTGTGGCTGTGCACCAAATCCAGAGTCTCAGGAAGCACACGTGCTGCTCCACCCCTTCCTACAACAGCAGGTGCACTTTCTGAAAAGTCGGATCTGCCGTGCAGCTGCAGGACTCCCCCACTGCAGCAAGGCAGGCAGGCAGCACAGGAAAGCAAGTCTCGTGGCTGCGCGCCAGAGCTGGAGTTTCAAGAAGTGTGCCGGCTGTTTTGGGGAGGGCAGGAGCGGCGCACGTACTTCCTGAGACACCGGATCTGGCACGCAGCTGCGGGACAACCTCCTACCGCAAGAAGTCAGCACTATCTCCATTTTCGCAGGAGGTTGTAGTGCTAGCACAGACACCTTCTTGCACGTAGGATTACAAGGGAGGACTGGAAACACCTTGAAATTGATTGGTCATGCCCCCACAATCGACCAATCGATCATGATCAAAGGGTTGGTGACCACGGGTCTAGATCATCCCTGACAGGTGTCTGTCTAACCTGCTCTTAAATATCTTCAGAGATGGAGGGAAAGCCTTCAGGCAGCACAGTCTTTTTCCTGGAGCGGGGGAAGAGAGGGAGAGGGAGCTCAGTCCTCCCACCCTCCATGCAGCGGGGATCCCAGCACAGCTGTAGCACCAGGTCAGGCTTCCCGCTGGCAGGGTACGGGCGGGTGGGGGTGTACAAACCCCGACCTTCCCCGCAAGACCAAACTCTGCCTCTTCCCCAGCAGGCTGGGGAGAGGTGTGGGAGAGAGAGAGGGGGAACCCTGCGCAGTTGCAGCACCAGACCAGGCTTCCTGCTGGCAGGGCGGAGGGGGAGGGAGGGTGTAGAAACCCCGACCTTCCCAGCCAGATCAAACTCTGCTACTTCCCCCAGCAAGCTGGGGAAGGGCACAGGGGAGAGAGAACAGCAGCACATGGGGGGCAGTGAGCCTGAGCATGCCCCAAGGGGGCAGGGTGGCAGCAGAGCCCAAGCAGGGTTCCATGCAGGCAGCAGTTTAAAAATGCCGAGGTCTGGGAGTGGATCCTTGGCTCTGGCCATTCCTCCTCTTCCCCCTCCCAGCAGCAGTGGCCACTGTAAAAGCTGCCGCCTGCACATGTGGAGGAGGAGGCTGCACAGCACCGGAGGCCCCGTGGGACAGGGGCCGTCCTGCAGGGTGGGGAGAAGGGGGTGGGGCAGCCATAGTGGGTGGGGGAGCAGCCAAAGCTGCGTGCCCCCAGATGCCCGCCCCTGCCAGCAAAGATCCAATGGGAGCTGCCTACAGGCTATGCAGAGGGCAGGGGACTAGAATTTTTTCGTGGAACCCTGGGGATCCGTGGAGTGTCATTTGGGAAACACTGAGCTAGAGGATTTACCCAGCATCGCTCAGGTCCTTAACTGAAATCTACTTTTTTTCATTTAAATCGTTGCTGTGGGATGGGTCTGGGATGAGGGGTTCAGTATGCAGGCTGCCCTGGGAAGAGAGGACAATCCCCGCAGCTTGAGGCCAGATAAGCAGGCCCCGTTGGAGAAAGGGTGCATGTCCCCTGGCGAAGGCAGACATACACACAAACACTCTCAAATATATTGTAGATAAAGGTCTTGTGACCTTTGATGCTTTCAATGTTTGTTTTGTAAGCAGCAATTTAGTTTTCATTTTATCTGACTGTATCATTTACTGCTAAAAATTACTAATTAACTAAAAATGTTACTCATTTCAGTTTAATTTCAGTCTGTGTCCACATTTTCAAAATTAGTGAAGGTATTAATATAGATAGAAAGCAGTCCTCTCTGAAGCATCATAACTGAATTGATTACACATTCCTAAACCATTAAAGCCTAAAAAAGAACTTCAAATTAAACAGAAAGCATACAACCAAAATTCTTGTTTTATAATGTGCAGAGTTTGCTATTGTGTATAGAGGGACTCAATCTTACTAAATATGTATGTAATTAAACCTGTTGAAGGAAACAGCCTTAAAAGGTACTAACCCTCTCCCCCCAAACCAGCTAATTTAACACTGCCAAAAAGGCATTTCTTGTTATGACTGTCAACTGCAAAGATGAATAAAGTTTTAAATATACAATTCTAAGGACTATTTTTGTAGAAGCCTTTCATATGTTTTGATGAGGTTTAAATTGGTTTAACCCTTAATTTCATTTTCTTAGGCTGGTCACACTATTAACACTATTTTAATATAACTTTCAATGGGGCATGAGATAGCCAAGAATGTAGCTATTTGTAAACTGAGGCTGATGCACATCTGTTACATGATCAGATTTAACATTGCAATCTTGACATAGTGGCATGTTACTTCATGCAGGAAGAACCTATTCAGTTTCCCATTTAAAATGCACACTTCACTCTAAAATATTTCTGCCTGCATATTACCCCTCACTACTATAATTCAAAGAAAACGTCCTTTTCATTCAGCTATTACTGTGTGTATTTACAGTCAGTTTTGTTGTTTCTCCTGCAATAATCCTTCAATCAGATCTGTTCAAGTGAACCTCTGCTTCTCACGCAGAGCTGTAAAGTCTAGGATTAGAGTTTTAAAACAAGGTCACTTCTGCCTGTCTCACTGTTTTCTCTCCAGGTATGAGAGAGATCTCATTATTAAATGAGCCAGCATCAGTGATAACCTCAATGTCCTGACCAACATTTTTGTAAGTAAAATGTCTTGGTAACGCTAGGCATGCACTACTGCTGAGCACACAATTTGCCTACAAACGTTGCCTAACTTATGGCTCTAGAACAATGGGTCTCAAACTTTTTTTTATAAAGTACCCCCTTTAAAAATATACATATAAGTACCCCCAGTATCTACAGTTTTCAGACATACATATTTTTTTTCTATCATTGCAACACATTTATTTAAACAACTTAATCATAGCTGGGTGGGCGATGAAATTTGTGTGTGTAAAAAGTACAAAAATAATAAAGCGCTGTAAAACTTAAAACAAAAACATCAGTTCTCCAAATTTTAGTTGTGTTGACTACCCCCCAGACTTCTCTGGAGTACCCCTAAGGGTACTCGTGCCACTGATTGAGAAACACTGCTCTAGAAAGCACTTTGGGATGCTCTGAATATAAAGGATGCAATAGAAACTCCAAGTTTATTGTTCTCTCGTCCACTATAATGTTGCTTTTCTCAGGAAATGAGACTAACCTTTATGGATTTCACAGCAGTCTTTATGTAATGTTCTAGCCACGGAGCCTTCCATTATTCCATGAGACATCAGCACTTGCAGGAACCGTCGATGACCATCAGTCATCTGGGCAGCCATTGAAATGTTACACTAGGTTCAGAAAGCTGCAGAATGAATAAGATGGAATTAGATGCACGCATTCAAGCAAAATCTTTATCTATACACACAGGGCTCGAAGAGCCAGGCTCGGGCGATCTGAGCATGCACAGAACGATCTGCGCATGCGCAGCTCACCGGACAGCACGGCTGGTGAGCTTGGCTCGCTGCGGCTCAGTAAGCCCTGTATACACACATTTGTAAATACCTTCTACAAAACTGATCCAGATCTGATATTGAAGAAAGAAAAATAAGTTCCCAACAGCACAAATTATTTTGATCTTTATATAAGATTCAAATGTGCCCACAGAAGGTACCCATGGATGTCCCACATCTAGCTTTAGTTAGTTGTAATCCTATCTCTTCCCTTCTGGAAAAGGTGAACACATCAGTGAGACAGGAAATTATATTAGGGCAAATAAGCATTTTCATCAAATTTTAGCTCTGAATGCACACAAGCCTTACTGTTGCTGTTCTAGAGTATTTATTAGGAAGACACTATTGCCACTTCACAGGACTCTTTCAGATACAAAATACAATGTCGCATGCATGATGCCATTGCACTAGCTACATAAAATACAGTGGAGTCCGGATTAACGGACACCCAGTAATCCAACACTCCACTTTAACTGACCCCGGGAACTGCAGGGTCAGGTACAGCGCGGGCCGGGAGAACAGCCCCGCTTGCTCTCTAGGAGCAGCTGCTGCCGCTCCTGCTGGGGACGAAGCGGCCCCGGCAGGAGCAGCAGCAGCAGCAGCTTCTCCTAGAGAGCAACAGCACAGCTGATGCTGCTCCTGCGGGGGAGGTCCCTGGCAGGAGCAGCATCAGCTGTTCCATTGCTCTCTACAGTAGAATCCATATCATCCGACATATTCGGTAATCCGACCATGTGTGGTCCCATTTAGGTCGGATTATAGGGACTCTATTGTAGTGGTATTACAGTGCTTGATGCCTCCATTTCCCCATCTACAAAATGGGGAAATGATGATGACAGCCTTTGAAAAGCACATAGAGATTTAGTTGGGAATGGTCCTGCTTTGAGCAGGGTCTTGAACTGAATGGCCTTCTGAGGTTTCTTCCAATCCTAATCTTCTATGATAGCTACTGTAGAAAAGCACTATATAAAAGTGAGATATTATTGTTACAATAAACTAGCTTGTAGTTTTGTGTTGAATTCGTTTTACTGGTCATTTTATCTGAATATTATTTGTCACTGGTCCCCATGTTTTATAAAAGTTGGCTTATGAACATGAATAATAACTCAAAGATGCTTTAGGCAAAAGCTGCATTTAACATTTTTAAAGTTACGATCTGCTGAACATGTATATTCTATTTCTGTATATGTATCATTCTTATATGTAAAATTAGAAATATGAAATGCAAGTCTGTTTATAATTTTAAATGTGCTAATGGGGGCCATTACTGATACTCCGAAAAGATAATAGCCTAGTACTCAAGGTAACAATCTGTAAATCTGTAAATGATTTTGTTTGTCCCTTAAGCCCAAACTGTGGTGGGTCCCAGAAAGACACGTGACCATGCCACATGGTACTGAAAACGGTCTTGCGTGAGCTATTTTTCCATGGGGATAGGGAGACTAAACAAAGGATTCCTGCCCTCGGGAAAGTCTATATAAGGGATGGAAAGCAATCAGGGCTTTTGACTTCAGCTGGCTTTTCAAATTGCCTCCCCACTTTAAGTGCATACACTGAAGAAACTTGAAAACAAAGAACTCTAAAAACACAAGGAGCTGTAGACCCAGGCCAAAGGGGAAAAAATCAACTATGCCTTGAAGCATTTTACTTGAAACAGGGACAAGGGGTAAGGAATGTATTTTGTAACAACTTATCTTTGTGTATTAGTATTAGCTGGTATGTTGTGTGTATTTTGGGTTAGTAACTTTCTTGATCTGTTTTCACTTGCAATCACTTAAATCCTACTTTTTATACTTAAAAACACTTTTGTTTATTATCAAGCCTAGTATAAATAACTGTTACCTGGGCGGGGAGCAACCATTGTCCATATCTATCTTTCACTGATAAAAAGAGTGAATTTACAAGCTTTCTCCGTATAAATATTTACAGAGTAAGATTTTTTGGGGGGTTTAGTCCTCTTTGAGGCTGTGTCCCTGGATGTTGTGAATGGCCTTATAGCGGAGACCTTCCAGAGCTGAACTGGTTTGGTATCTGTGTTGCTCTGTTAGGGGCTGTTACCCCAATCACTCGAAGAACCCCCAACTCTGTGCCTTGGCTGGGGAAGACAAGAGCTTCTAGCCCTGCAGGTCACAGTGATGAGGTGCCCCACAGCATGACCGGCACACTGGGTGACAACTTACACTGACAAACTGCTTACTTTCTCATTTTTACCATATAATTCTATCAACTGGAATATAAATATTGTACTTTCATTTCAGTATGTAGAGCATTATAAAACAAGTCACTGCCTGTATGAAATTTTAGTTTGAAAATTTTTTAGTTTAAAAAGCATTTACTCAGATAAATGTGTAATCGGGGGGGAGGGGTGACAGGTGGAAGCCAGTACGCACCAGTTGCCAGCTTTTAAGCTTGCTCCCCAGTTACCAGCTCCCACGGAGCTGCCAGCCCATCCCTGTACTATCACTGGATCAGAGGCATCTTTCCTGGGAACCAGTACTCTCCGGGAGCCAGCTTAAATGTCAGTTCCCTGTGCACACTGGCTCCCCACAGCCCTGCCTCCCGGGGGAGGCATGCATAACCATTTACACATTCAGACTATCACATCCCTAGTTTGTACTGATTTTGCAAGTGCTTTTTAATATTTAAATGGGTTGATGTACCCCATGGAAGACTTCTGTACATCCTTAGGGGTACATATACCCCCGACTGAGAACTACTACCTTAAGCCCTTCTGTGTAGCGGGCAACTCCGCTCATATTTGCCAGTCATACCAGCACACAAGAAAAGATTAAAATCCTAAACTGCTTTATTTTTCTCAGCATTGGCACGAAGAGTATTTTTCTGCTTCCTGGACAAATGTTGCCACAGGAAACTGCTACAAAACTGAAGTAGCCTTGCACTAGGAACAGAACTTGTATCTTCTCTATTCACACCACAGATGTAAGAGCTCAGATACTCTCCACACTCTCAAAGCTATCACAGAGGGGATAAAATGAGGAGCACAGTCTTCACAAGGGTGTTAGGTACTTGACTCAAAGGAAATACACAAAAGATTTACAAGGTTTATGGGGCTTGTTCTCTTTTTAAAGTAAACTGTCCAAAAGATACTGCAGCCCTCTCTATACAAAGCCTCATCTGCCCATTGGCCCCTGACAACATGCCATGATAATCCCCTGAAGATCCTTTCAATCTCATGATCTCTGGCCTCTTGACTGATTAGGTCACCCACTAAAAGCCAGGTGTGACATAGTTGCTTGCAATGCTAGAAATGAGCTGTGGACCACCAAATTCATGTCACACAGTTCAAAAGAGCGCTCAGAGGGAGGTGACTGTCGGCCACTAGTACCCAGGGTTGCAGTGTCACTAAGAGGGCAGGGAACCAGCATCAGGTACTCATGGGACATGGGGACGTCCCCTTGCCACTTAGCATGTCGGGTCTCACACATTGGTACCCTGGCTTTAAACTGTAAAGGAGAGAATGAATATTTCACCAGGACCCCACCCTCACTACACAGCCTATAACATGAGCAAGTCGCTTGTCCATACATG